CCTCCGCCCCCTCCGCCACTGGTTTACCGGCGCGAGCAGCTAGCAGGTAGCATGAATGCTGTAGTTGCTTCTCACGATTTGCCGCCTCCATAAAGCTCCGCCCCTTCCGGGCTATACGACCGCCTCCTTCCGGCCGAGTTACCCAATCTCGAGCCTAGAGCTCGGACCTCGACCTGCCCCAGCGAGCCCCCCAATCCCTGCTGCGCTCTTGGCTGTGACTCGCTTTCGGAGCTACGCCCGGGATCTCTTGTGACGCTCAGGTTTCTGGTTTGGATAACTGGGTAGATGGTAGCATCTGTGATCGCTTAATGGTTGGCTTCGTCTTCGTCCTTATTGAAGGCACTCTAAAGCAGGAAAGCAGGACCGACCTGCCTTGCCTACCCTGGGCCATCTAGCACAGGGCGAGGCATGTGGAGGGGGTCCAATAGGTATTTACTGGAGGAACAGTCGCTAGAGGTGCGGATGACACGTGTGTGTGTATGTGTATGTGTTGGGAGCAGGGATGAGGGGAAGGAGTGTTCATTTTTGGACGTATTGGCGATGACATCCAAGCCCCAAGGACCCGGGTTATGTGGCACATGGAGCAATGGGCCTGGGCAAGATGGTTTAAGCTAAGGACAGAGACAGGTGAGGGATGGATGACAGAAGGAAAGCTGGAGCCCAGAGATAGAGGGACAGCAGAGCCTGGTGTGAAAGCAGTGGGAGGCTGTACCAGGAACGTGTCCACGGGATGGGGGATGAGGCCTTCAGTGACTAAGGGGACACCCTAGGGGGGATTGTGGGGACAGATGCTGGCTGGGAGGAGTATGTGGGCAAGGCCCAATATAATTGTAGATAACTAGAATATAGAGATCTCGGGGGTAGCCGAAGGATGACAAAACTTGTGGGAGAAGAGGGAGGAGCTGCAGCATAGGAGACAGACATGAAGGAGAGTTAAGGGGCTGGAAGAAAGAAGGGGGTTGGGACCCAGGCAGCCCTGGGACTGCTGAGGGTGGCCACTATCTGCAGTGGCCCGCTTTCATGCATAACGGGGGGAGGCCGATGCCATTCCTGCCAATGAGAGTCTCTGTGAGGTAGGAGGGGAAGGGAAAAGGCTACAGTCAATACTTGGAAGACACAGGGAGAACCCACACCACTTGGGGAGACCCCACACTGTGGTCAGGCGGTATTAGGCCCCCAGGTTCCCCTGGAGTGGTTTTTTCCTTCAGGCGTAGACTGGGAGAAGGCAGAGAACTGGGTCCATCCAGAGTTAGGATTCTGATAAGGGGCCATGGACAAGTGCCCCAACTTGACTTGGGTGACAGTAGGAAGTGACAAAGCAGTTCAGATATGCACATCACTCAGCTACCACAATCCTCATCACATTTAATCCTCACAACACCCCTGTGAGGTAGGTATTATTGCCCCATCTTACAGATGAGGAAACTGAAGCTCACAGATACCCAGGGGCACACAGTCAACAGGAGAGGTCTGCAATCCCAATGCTGGGGTCCCCTCATCCCAACCACGCCCCACCTGGAGTGGTCAGAATTCTCTTACAGTAGCAAAGACAGGTCCTACTGGGACAGACAGACAGACACACACACACACACAAAGCACCACTGAATCAGCATCTCCATGTCTCATAGTTTTGGTTTAAGAGCATTTGGGAGACACTCCTGGCCAAGTGGTCCCTTCTGACATTTTGAAAGGAAACAACAGCTATTGTAGTAGGGGGAGTGTGTCAGTGGTCAACCCAACTGGGAAAAGAGGTCAGGGTCAGTCTTGGGCAGATCCCTTAGGTGTTTTGGCTGCTGCCCCCATGGAGGATCCCGAGTCTCTTGGCTCATTATTCTCAGGAACCCACAGCAGACCCAGCCTCACCCAGCAGGTTCTCTGAATCTTGCTCTTTTGAATCTGGCTAACCTCCGTTATTACAAATGATGTTTAATTTTTTTTTTTTCTGGTGAACTTCTCTAGGAAAATTCTTTCTGCATAAAGAATTGAGGGGTTTGAATCAGATTTTCTTTTTTTAGTTGAGTCTAAATAACATTAAGAATCTCATTTTTTTTTAAATTTAATACCTTCTATTTTTTCTTTTGTTTTTCAACTTAGAAGAATGAAGGATGGGAATACAGGAAAAGAAATAGCCTAGAAATTCAGTGCAAAGTGAGATGTTCATACAGATACCATCCACTGGGGACACAGATCATTCCAGGAGGGACAGATTTCTAAAATGAGCTGGGAGTGCGGGAGGGAGGGAGCCTAGGCGTATGACCAAGACACCGAGGCTCTGGCCTGCAAAAAGTCAGGGCCCTCATGCCTGGTGGCCATACGCAGTCCATGACAATGCACAGGGCAGGGATCCCTCACCATGGGACCCTCTGCCCTGTGAGGAAGCATGTGGATGCCCCAGGCAGGCCAAGGTGGGTGTGGGAACCTTGGTGATCAGAGTTCTCAGCTCTCCCTAGAGCCCCAAACCACATAGATGTGGGGAGGGGTAAGCGGTGCCAGGCTACCTGGGTCACACATGAAATGTGAAAGCTGGCAGCTTCTGAGATGGGTTCAGCGGTGCTGGGATTATCAGGATATGGGCTGAAGCTTCCCAGAGAAAGCAGGACAGAGACAGGAGGGGACAGAGAAATAGGCTTTCCGTGGCATGATTGCTTTGAGGCTAGTTTTCAAAGAGAAGGAGCTGAGTTTTTGTTCAGATTTAGACATTCTGATGGCTCAAATGGGATTCCTCTGGTGAAAGACACTTAGTGTGCTGAGTTCTCCTCTCTGTTCCCCATGCGAGGCCACCAGGGGGGGTCTAAAATTGTCCATCTGCAGTGCCCCCACCCCTCACGAGAGCAGCAGCGGCCCTCTCAGCAAACATTCACTGTGGCAAACACTCTGACACACTCACAACTTCAGGAAGCCCAGGTGTGTGAACTCCTCCTCTTCCTCGCTGAGGGCAGATAGGTTTTGCCTTTTCACCTGTCGCTGGGGAATGCTGCTCTCTGGGGAACTTGGGGGACGACACTGTACACATGACTTTTTGGCGTGATGGTGGCAAGGCTTTGTGTTCGAGTCACTGCCTGGGGACAGTGCTGAGGTAGATTGGGGAGGGCTGATGTCCACGGAATTTGTGGGACTTGTGCTACTGACGGAGGAGTACCCTGAGGTTGTAATGTCCTTGCCCAGCTCGCTGCTTCCGCAGAGAGGGGGCTCAGGCACTGGGGCCAGAGGCATTTGGGTGCTTGGCACCAAGGTGTGCAGGTCCTGGCATCCCACATCCTCCAGGTAGGCCTCCTCGTCACTTGATTCCTGGCAGCAGTGCTGTTCTGGGTTCAGGTACACCACAGTGACATCAAGGATGCCGCTGGGAGCTGTCACTGCGGGAGAAGGTGGGGGAGAGGTCAGGTCACAGCCTGAGCATCGGGGTGACCCCCTGCCCAGTCAAGACTCTGGTGGCCCAGGGTCCAGCTCTCAGCCAGGACAGGTGTGACTCTCAGCTACATGTCCTGGACCTCGCTAGGCAGTCCCCTGTACTCATCTCCTCTGGGTTAAGAAATTGAAGGTGAAGTGCCACCTTCAGACGTGGGGTGGCACGCAATGGGACTTGGGGGACAGCAGGAAGTGACTGGTCATCTAATTACTTGACCCCGAGTGGACACAAAAGCAAGCAATTGGAAAATTGATAGAATCTGCTTGAATCTAGTTTTCTGTGCAGATGGCTGCCTGAGAACATGGAGATGGAACCTCCTACAGCCTTCCCTGAAGGGGTATGTGAGGCACAGAGCCCAACAGGTGGTGGGGAGCGGGGGGTACATCTCACACAATGTTCTAGAAGGATCTTATTGTGGACTCCAGACAGGGTCTCTTCCTCTTCCCCTGACATGGTGAGGTCCTTCCATCAACACAGGCCTAGCTGGAACTGGACACACATTTGGCCTAAGTCTTCTTCCCCCTCCCCCAGCTGTGGTGTCCTAAGGGCTCTGTTCTCTCACCTGTGTCTGGACATGTTCTCCTGCAGGTAAAGCCAGGGGCCCTCGACAAGAGCTGCCCTTCTGCTCGCTGTCCCTCTGGGGCAACCCCTGGGCAGCTTTATGGCTGCGGGACTCACCATCACCCTCCTTCTCGCCTTCGCTCTCCTGGTCGCCCTCATAGCCGGAGCAGTAGTCCAGGCTCCAGTCCAGGAAGCTGCCCAGTAGTGTCTCCTCCTGGCTGGACAGCTCCGCGGTGGGCGTGGTGACGAAGCTGCCTCTGTCCTCCTGGAGGCTGTTCTCTCGCTTCCTATGAGGGGGGTAGCCAGGAACCCAGTCACAGGCTGCAGTACTGGGTGGCCCTGCCTGATCCTTGGCCCCTGCCTTCCCTGCCCCAGGGTGCCGTGACAGGGATGACAAAGCCACCCAGTGCATGTCCTCAGAGTCCCAGAGGCAGGGCCAGCAGCACATGAGGAGAGACCTGCTCATCTGGACTTTGCAAGATCAATAAGAGTTCTTCAGGTGGGTGAGGTGGGGAGGGGAAGTTATTCCAGGTGATACAGCCAGGACATCGAGATGGGAAAGACTGAGGTAAACGGGATACATGCAGATTATGGTGGAGATGAGGGGGAGCAAGAGAGGTGCTACAGACACAAATGAGGGCACAGCTGGAGTGCAGGGAGTGCCAGCAACACTAGAGCAGAGAGCTCAGGGTGACATATGATGGGTGCGTGGCAAGGCCAGAGCCTGAGACGGGCTCAACCTGTGCTCCTGCCCATCTTCAAAGGGCACCAGTGAAAGCAAGAGAGACAATACATTGGAGGAAGGAGGCTGCAGACACTGCACAGTGCAGCTCAGGTCCAGGGACCTGAAGCTTGGATTTAACCCAACTTTGACTTCTGTGGGATTTGCTGCTTCTCCCTCTTATGCCTTAGGAGCCCCCTGCGTAAAAGCGGGTAACAGAGCCCCTCTGGCAGCTGCAGGACTCATGAGGGAACCCAAGCCCAGCAGGCAGGAGCCAACACTGCCTCACACGCTTACTAACCGTTTGGTTCTCCTCCCGGAGGGAGAGCTGAGGAAAGCATGAATGTCCCCCGCGCTGAGGAAAGACGCAGGTTCTGGGCTCTCTTGTTTCACTCCTAGAGCTGCACACACTTGTCCATAGCTCAGCACCTGAGAGAAAGCCAGGGTCAGAGAGAGGGAAGAGGCCCCGAGGGGTGGGCTAGGGCCCACCTGCATCCCAACCGATGGGGAGATGGGAGGAGAGTGGCACCTCTTCCCGGCTGATCTCTTCATAGCGCTTGTCCTCAAATCGCTGTTTCACAGCTGTCAGAGAGACTTGCCTGTAGTCCTTGGGGACATCATCATGGAAGCTGCAAACAGAGGGACACATGAGGACAGTGGGCGGCAGATGGAGCTCTGAGGCAGGCATCATCAGCATCTTGACACCGGGACTCCCGTTTTTAGCCTCCCTCAATGGAGGGGACAACACAGCCCAGTGATGGGAGGTAAAATGGGCCCCACTGTGGAAAAGTCTGGTGGTTCCTAAAAGTTAAACCTAGTCACCTATGACCCAGGAATTCCACTCCCAAGAGAAATGTGAGCACACATCTACACAGAAACGTGTATGCGAATGCTTGCAGCAACATGATTCATAATAACCAAAAGGCAGGAACAACCTTAACATCTATCAATGCACAAATGATGAACACAATGAGGTCCTTCCACACGGTGAAATTTTATCACAGTGGAAAACATGTAGGCGGAAGAGGCCTGCCACAAAAGGCCACACATTGTATGATGCCATTTCTAGGAAATGTACAGAACAAGCAAATCCATACAGACTGAAGACAGATGAGTGTTTGCCTTAGGGCAGGAAGGAAAGGGGGAAGTATGAGGTGATAGGTAAGGAGTGCAGGGTTTCTTTTGACGGTGGTGAAAATATTCTAAAATCAACTGTGGTGGTGGTTGCACAACTCTGAATATACTAAGAACCTGTTGAATTGTACACTTAAAAAGTTTAGTTTGTAAATAAATGTTTCCAACTTATCTGGTTTGGAAAAAAATTTAAAAACCCCATAAATCTCATGGGTGGGGCGTAGCAATAACTTTTGATAGCCAGGTAATAACTATTTGCATTCCTAGTGTGAGCAACGGTGGGGTCAGACACACGCTGACTCATCGACTGTCACCTGCACTCCCTGTACATCAGCTACAAGGTCTGGGCATCACAGCAGAAAACAGAGCGGGCTGAAGCCCACACCACCCCCCGGGAAATGCTGACAGGCCCCCTGAGGCTGGATCACAGCTGGGAGGGGAAAGCAGCAGCGGATGGGTTAGATCAGGGGCTGGTCATAGGGATTTGGGGCCTGGCTGGAGAATTCTAATCGCATCCCAGAAGGTGTAAACAGAAGTGATACGCTCAGAGGCAGCCACTGTAGGAATCCAGGAGGTGGCTGAGGGAATGACCATGGGCCAGCTATGGAGGCCAAAGGGATCAGATGTGCAAAGAAAGTGTGTTGGCCTCGAGAGCCTCTGGGACATGGGCAGAAAAGCAGAGATGGACTGGCCCCAGGTCTCTGCTAAGATGATGGGGCCTTTGATATAGAACACTAAATGCAATCTATGAAGAGTAATGGCCCTGGTAAGAGAGGGGTTCTGGCTTGGATAAGCTGGCAGGGGCAGCTAGGGCTTGAAGTATAGATGTCTTCTGAATCTTGGAAGTGGTTACATTTTCCAGGGACATCTGAGAAGCAGAAAGCTGGAATTACCCACACCCTTGGGTGGGGGAAAGGGAACACTGAGGGAGCGCGGCCTGGTGCAGAAAGGAGGAAGTCATGGGGGCTTTAGCAGATATACCCAGAGTGAGGAGGGGAGTGGGGACTAGAATGAGTGGGCCAAGGAGGGAGAGGAGAGTCTGCAGCCGAGCTGAGATGGGTAGCAGCCAGGTATGTGCCTGGGGGCCAAAGTTTGCCAGCTCCTGAGCGAGACCACAACATGTTGTACACTGAAATTGCCACCAGTCAGGGAGATGGTCTCATTTTTTCTATTACATTCTTCTGCCTGTGGAATTTAACTTGGGTTGGGAAGAGCTGCTGCACACACATCGCATGTTAAAAACGTGAAATAAGGAAGATGGCCCTGGAATGTTTAAATATCAACTCTGAGACACAACTCACTGCAGGAAAGGTCTATGGGGATTGATGGTCCTCCCGTGAGAGCCCTACCCCTCTACTTGTGGACACCGCCTCTGTGGCAGAGGTCAGGTGGGAGGACTGCTTTCCTTTTACAGACTCACCACCTTTGATGAAGGCTCAAGACACAGGGTATGAGGTCTTCACAGGAGAACCCAGTGAGGTCCCACAGCCGAGTGGTCCAGGGCTGTGCTGGGGAGGAAAGCAGGAATGGTGGGACCGTTCTGATGCCCACTCATATCCACAGCCCAGATGATTCTGTGGTGGCATTTCCCGGAGCCCAGGACCCCATATTCAAAGCATGCCTGCTCACTGTCAACAGTGTGGGAAATACGCAAGCTAGACCCATCCCTAGCCTCACCCCCAGAGAACAGCTTTTAGTCCATTCTGGTGTTTCCTTCTCCAGGAGAGGCAGGCATGCTTCTTTTTCTCCCCCTTCCCCCTTTGTATCTGAGCATTGTCTCCTGACCCCAGAAATCCCCTAGGCTCCTGGCTCAGCCCATGCTCTGAGTGGCTAGCCTGGAGGAGGGCTCCTTACTCTGTCCATGTGTCAGCCTCGCCAGGAGCAGGGAGGCTGCAGCCAGGTGAGCCGGGGAGTAGGCGGCCAGGCTGGTGTGCAGCAGGGAGAGCTCGCAGAGGAAGCTGCACAGGTGCTGGGTTCTTGGCGTCACAGGGACCAGCGTCAGCAGGATGTCTTTGTAATCAACCACAGTGGGGACCTAGACAGAACCGGGAGGCGGACGTGGGTTCTCAGCACAGAGGGCTCATCCACCCCTTCAACAGGGAGGCTGGCCCAACTTGGGGTCTGGCCCCACCTACGTTCAGGCTGGACACCAAAGTGTGCGGTGACAAGATTCCCTCTGGGTCAAGGAGGACTTCCCAGAGCAGGAAAGCTCAACACTACATGGATGCCCTTGGCTCTGCTGCCCCCTCACATGACCTCCACTTCCATTGACAAGGACAAAACAAATGGCCACTTACACGAATCTTCCCTTCCAGGGCGGAGATGATCTCTCCCATCATCCTCACCAGGTCCTCGTATTTGTACGTGTTGTCTGTGAGCCAGACAGCCTCCCGGATCGTCAGGATCTCTTTACTAATGAACCTGGAATGTCAGGAAGGGGTCTGAGTGTTGAGCCCACTTCCTTTGGTGGGGCGATCGCTTTAGGCTTCAGTGACAGGAGGGTCAAAAAGGGAACCTGACTGCCCGTGGCCACTGAGAACTGAAAAGCTTATACGATACTGTCATAAGGGGCTGAAAAGGAGGAAGGATTAGTGCCACGGGCCAGTGGGAATGGCTGGACCACCACGTACACAGATGTTTCTGCAAAAGGCACCCATCAATGACGGGATCGGTCAATCCTCTTAGCGATTGAGGGAGGGTTTGCCCTGCCTTATGCCAGATCCTACAGAGTATAAAAGTCTTAAACCCAAGACACAGGTGAGCCAACAGAACCAAACTGAAGGTTGTTTAAACGTCTGTACACAGCATGGACTCTGGCCACAGGAACTTGACTGTCCCTTAGGCAGGTGGTCACCCTGTTCTTTACTCTCCACCAGCACCAACTATCAGGGAACACGCTGCTCCAGTACTCAGTCTACTGGGGGTGTCACCCCTGGCAAGGGTGGACCCGGGCCAAGCCTATGGCCCCTCTGTCCTGAAAACAGCAGCTCCCATATTTGTTGTTGTCTTTACTGACAGAGGAGGGGATGCATGGGGACCAAAGGTGCCGGAAGAAAGGATAAGATGCAAGTGGGGTTGAGAGCCCTGCACTTGGAGAAGCTGCAGGTAGTGCTTTGAGAACAGCAGTAGGGGCATCTCAGCCTTGACAATTTTTTAAAGCAATTATCTCACTGCTAGTCAGTCTGTGGTCTAGTAACTCGGTCTCTGATGGCAAGGATATAATTATGTTGTCTAGATCCCGGAGGAAGGGGCCCCATCTGTTCAGCCCTCTCTGATGAGGAGACCTGGAATGCTGAGAGGTGCCTGGACAATGTGTGGCAGTCTGCTCCCTGACCCTGAGCCCACGTTCCCTCCACCTGTAGTCCTATGATCCTGCTTCCACGACCACCCAAAGAGACCACTTTCCAGTTTCATTGTGGCCACGTGACTGAGCTCGTTGCAAAGGCGGACATGTTGACCTGAGGGATCATGGGGGGTGGCAGAGAGTAAGAAGGGAACTGGGGCTTCTCTGTGGCCTCATGAAACAGAAAATCCATCCCAATGACATAAGCTTGGACCCTCTATCTCTGAGTTAATGTGCAAAAGAAATCAATCTCTGTGTAGTTCACACCACTGTGTACAGTGAGCCTGTTCCTCAACCCCAAGGACGGTTGGTCTGGAAAGCACTGTCCGGGGGGAAATAGCAGACTATGCAGGGAATGGCTGGCTTAGGAAAACCAGAAAATCAAAACGTATGGTGGCAACTGAAACTAATATTAAAATAAATTAAATTAAAACAAATACCAAAATGTATGGTGGGAATTGCCATCCACATTGCTTGCAAATGCAAAACCGGGGCAGACGCATATTTGTTAAAGGACAGAGAGTTAGGTAAAATATAAGATGGTATGGCTTGAGCTTCCAGGGGTGCAGGCTGCCGTGCAAGGACACACCCAGTCCGTGTGGTTGGAAGGGTCTGCGGGGATTCGGGTGAGGACGTGAGCCCCACGAACTCAGGTCTTCCAATGACACATAATTGAGAAACACATAAAAGCAGTCTTTCTATGATCTCGGGTAGAGGACCCCAGAGGAGGGCAGCTGATTATGACCTTCCCTCCTCGCTAGTCACCCTCAGGGACCAGGCGAAGAGTGGTCCAGCCTGAGCCTGCCCAAGTAAGGTCACATTCTGGGTCCTGAGACCATGTGCTGGGATGAGTGGCCACCCACATGCTGAGGGTCACTCTGCCGTCCCTGTGTGGGGAAGACCACGCAGCTTGGGCACTCCCTAAAATTAAAACCATCTAATGAGGTAGTACACTGAAGGCTCATTTCACTGAAAAGCCAGCCCATGAACTTGGGCAGGGCTAGCACGCTGCGCCATCCTGTGGGCCTGGCTGCAGGGGGCTTCTCACCGGGTACAGATGACCATGCAGGCGATGCCAAGCAGCTGGAGCCTGTACCGGGGCACCAGCCTCCTCCGTAGGTACCGGTCCACACATTCCACGGTCAGGTGAAGGCACAGGCTTGTGAAGTCCTTCATGGTGGCGACTTCTACCAGCCAGTCGATTAGAATGTACCTGCAGGAAGAACATCACCCCTGAGCACTAGAGCAAGCATTCATGAAAGTCCCATCTCCCATTCTTGACAGCCTGTCTATCCCGAGACAGACTGTGCCACTGGTTCACCCAGGAACCATCCAGGGCTGAGGCTCCACGTCCAAAGAGTCTGGGGAGGTCCCCCATCTCCCAACTTTATTTCTGGGAGGCAGGTGGGCTCACATATCTGTATCCCTGCCTCCGCCATAGAGCCCTCAAGGCACTAGATAAGCCTGGATGCTCATAGGTAAGGGGCAAGGTAGGTCTGCTCTGTAGGGCTGGGGACAGATCAGTCCCCAGGACCAGCAAAAAGGTGCAAGAGCTTTGGCCCTCCCTCAAACCTGTACTCTTCCCAAGGAAGAGCTCACCTGTGGGGTCATTTACCAAAACCCTATGCATTGGAAAAAAGAGCCAAGAACACAGCTAAAGTAGGATGCATTGAGCCCGTGCGCTGGAGTTCTGTCACCTAGCAACCCTGGCGGAGGCTGCAGCTTGACAGAACCCAGACATGGGGTCCCTCCTCAAGAGGACTAAAACCTGCAGCCAGGGACACAGACATCACAGGGAATGCTGCGTGCAATGGCAAGGATGCCCGAGCATGGTAAACGCCTTTCTGAACAAAGGAGAGGAGACAGAGAGAATAGAAGCATGCGAGAAAAAACATGATGCTGCAGGATTCATGCAAACAGGAGGGATAGGTTCCTGGTCAGTCCAGACAGAAACATTTTTTACAGGTGGAGGGAAGGAGGGAAAACGAGGTCGAGGTGGTGTAAAGGAAGGAGTGCAATGGAGGTGGAAGAGGGAGAAGATGGAGGGAAAAACAAGCCTCCATTTTCTCTAGAGGAGGAAGACAGAATGAGCGTCAGATATTTGAGGTTTAAACCAACCCCTATCCACACACACTTAAGGTTAGACTTATAAAAAGACAAACCGAAGTGTATACTTTAAAATGGCTAAATCTGAAACTAATTGTTATATATCAATTATACCTCAATAGAAAAAAAAAAAAGTTGGCAGTTGCCTGGCATGGAGGAAAATGAAATGATGCTCAACTCAAGGGCTAAAATGATATTATTTCAATAAAATTACTTTAGTTCTTGAAAAGGAAAAGTGAAATTTATGTTACTCTGCCAAAAAAGAATAGTAACAGTGTCTCCCCACCAAAAAGGCAGACTGAGAAGGGCACGAGGTGTTGTTATCAGCATATTCTTCCATCAGAAAGAGGGAAGAGCTGAAAGAAATAGGGAGGGGGGCGGCCACCACCACCACAGGCACAGGATTAAAAACCACAACAGCTTTGTGAGATTTAATGTGGGCGCAAAGGACAATGCATTGCACACTGTGTGAGAGATCAAGCCTCTCCAGGGAAAAATAAATGTTTATAGAGAACTTTCTATGTGCAGGGCATTGTCTGCTGCAGTATAGCCAGAGCTGCCTATTAGAAATCCAAAATGTATTTGAAATCTCTTGCATAAGCTTAAAATGATTCACATTTTCCATTTTACTAATGTTCTGTGATTGAGTGTACAAGCGTTTTATCTCTAAACCTTGGAAGAAAATGAACCTGCAGGAAGAGGTGGGTCATGCCGGAGTTTCAGTTATGCTGGGCACATAGCAGCTGCCTGAAGGGCATAACCCTCTGGGGTCAAGCTGGCTCTCATGGCCATGGAGTTTCACACACCAAGCTGATGTTCGTAATGAAGGGTTGTAAAAACAAGGTGTTTTTTGGCTTCAGAAATTGGAGTAAGAATCCCATCATTTTAGAAAGACATTTAAAATGGTTTTAACTGGTTCTGAGGCTCAAAAAAGAAAACCAAAGAGAGAGCAGACACTAATTATGTGCGATATTTTCTCTTCAAAGCTCTGGATAACTTAGGCATTAGTGGTTTAGAATACACACACACACACACACACACACACACACACACACACACACACACAGGGGTACGGGTCCTAGTGGGGCTGACAGCACAGGGTAATCTGTGACAGGCGGCTCAGGTGAAACAGGACAGACAGCTCCCTTCATCAGAGACCAGTGGTCGCTCTGCGTCGTGATCAGGAGCTCTGTCTTGAACCCCTCACCTCATTGTGTCATTGAGTCCCTTCTGCAGGGAAAAGACCTCGTGCTTATTGGCAGCGTGGGAGGCCTGAAACAGCTGGCAGACTATCTCGTTGGAAGCTTTTGCTTCTAGTCCAAGTTGGTTTCCATTTGCACAGGCTTTCGCTAAAGACAGCTGAGAAGGAAAGACATGCAGAGTGAGCACAAAGCAGTGGCTTTTGGTTTTATTTCTGAGTGTGAAGGGCTATTGAGGGCTGTATACAGTCACCCTCCTTACCCCTTCTAAGCTTTCTGGAACCAGTATGACTAAGATTTTAATTATTCGTTTTGAAATAAAAAATATATCACAAGATAAAGAGTTTTTAAAAAGGACAAAAATTCAGTCCCCTTCGCACCCTGGTACAGCTCCTCAGACAATTTAGTCTTCAACCACCTTTTTTGTTTCTGTTCACCCCTCACTCCTGCAATTGTGAAAGCTAGATGCTCCAGGGGTAAGTTGCATAGCAAAGTGGCACGCTGGGGGCTCAGATAACCTGGCCTTAAAACCTGGGTCTGTATGTGACCACTGGCAAATTGGGGGAACTGCTCTATGCCTCAGTTTCCCTTTCATGAAGTGACATAGAACATGTGCTTTGGCAGGTGGATATGAGGATAAACCGAGATGTACCAAGCATTTTGAACAGGACGCACCCACTAAGCCCTCAAATGGTTACTTCTTTGCCCACCTAACAGTAACGTGGTTCCTTAGGATATGAAATACCTGTAAGCATGTTTCACCTGTTCTTCCTTTTTGGGTGTTTGTGATGGGTTTTATTATTTTGTGGGAAATCTTTGTGCAGGCTTTTTAGTACGTGTGCCCATCTGCTCACGTGGTCAGTCCACAGAAATGGTTTTACTATGCCTTTTGCTACTTGTGCCCAAGTGCTCTCTGAAAGACTGACCCAAATGTTCACATCCACTAATAGGAAAACTGTCTTATCGCATCTTTGCTAGCAAAAACGGCTATTGTGAAAATTGTCTATTTTCTCAAGTCACTAGCTATCCACTCAAAAACACACAGAGACTATATATACATACATATAATTTGCTAATGTAATCTAGCTGTGATCTTGTTGAAACGCGCGCCCTTCCGGCCAGCAGTGGAATACTGCTGCACTGCGTTTCGACCCGTTGTGTTTATTTCCTCTTTTCTGAGAGACATTAAGGTCCTGTGGGCTTCTATCAGAGTCTCACTATTCTTACTGATCAGCTTAAGCTTCAACTAGAACCACATCGTTGACGGTCATGTCTTGTAAATTTGCCAACTACCTTTTCGGACCTAAATATTACCATGTTCTGTGGCATGTCAGGCTGAGCCATGTACCACTTTGTGATTTCTTCCCTAGCTTTCAAGGGTGAACGACTCTCAGCCATCCACTTAGTTGGTAGAGCTTCTACCTGCCTGGCTTTCTTTGATTTGTCTTGAAACCATGGCTTCTTTACAGCTTCAAGGGGAGAGTGCCTGGAGAACACCAACTACAAATCCCTGATGTCCTGGTTTTGACACTGGATGACTTGGTGAGTAGGTCAAATAGAGAACAGGACAGGATTCCACATACCCGTCTGCTCTAAGGAGACTCAAGTTCTGTTACTGAGATAAGCTTTACCTACAGGACAAGTTTAGGGAGCGGCATAAATTTTGAGAGCAGATACAATCCACAAGCACTTAGAAATTAAGAGGCTGGCTGGCTGGTTTAGGGGCAAAGGACTTTGAGACCATGGAGTGGAGATGGCCAGAGATGAAGGAAGCACTTCCAGGTTCTCCTATCCACGCGCCCCAGAGCTAAACTCCTTTAAAGCCGGCTCCACCCCTGGGCCAATCTTACAGCCTCCTGAGTGGGAGCCCAGAAGGTATGAGGAGAATGGCCAGCTCCCACCTCACCTGTGCTTCCCAGCAGCCTTTGGCAGCATAGTCCCTGAGTTTCCGGAAGTTGTAGAGGCATCGTCCGGGATCAGACATCTGTCAATGGGAGAAAGTCACCATGACTTTATATGGTTCTATCTCTGGAGAAACTCAGAATTGACCCGTGGAGTCCTTAAATGTTCCCCTAAACCTCCAGAGGGCCCCCAGCTGTGCTTTCTTCCCAGCCCTTTATCCCCCAAATGACAATGGCGCTGAGAGCAGCCCACTGAACAGTGGCTCCCAGGGGCTTAGGAAATGTACGAGGATCCCCCCATGTGCTGACAACCTCATCAAGGGCCAATTTGGTGACTGTGCCTTTGACCAATATAATTTCTCCTCTCCCCAGACCCAGGTCCACTCACATCCGTCCTTCTGTCACTTTCCCAGAGGAGGTACGAGCTGGTCAAACATCCCTGATTAGCAGACTCTTCAAACAGGTCACGGGCCTGCTGTTTCTTCTCTTCATCCTGGAATAAGTCCAGACACAGCTGATGCTTTTCTTATTCTCCACTTTCTGCTAAACCATTCTACTAAACACCTTCATCTGTCTCTGTAGCTCTAAGTGATCACATGCATTGCTCTTTAATAAAATGAGTTAACTACATCAGAATAGAAATGACTTCTCTTAAAGACACAATTTGACAACCAATATGGAAAGCAAACTCACAGGTTCCGCCCTCACAGGCCCTGCTTTCTCCTGGATGAGGTTCGTGTTTGGCTATGTCGGGGCTCCTCAGCCTCCTCCCTCATGCCCAGTATCCCTCCCTGATACTGCCAACGCCCACCTGTCACCAGAAGCCATTCCCTGAGTTTGCTGCAGAGGGGGTTCCTTAATCATAAAGCTTGTTCAAGTTTTCTCAAGTGTAGAGTCCTACATGAGGAGTGGGAGAGGCCCACCAATAGCAGAGCAATGACACAAGCCCGTTGCTGGGTGCACACTTAGATGCTCTGACCAGCTCAACATCCGTTCTCATGGAAGGGCTCAGTTTGGCTTTGAACCTGGTATGTCTCCTTTTGCTGCTTTTCACTTACTTTCTGGTCCTTGGTGTTTGCAGCTGCTAGAAAGGTGAGCAGCACAGACATGCAGAGCTGCTGTATTACGCATGCTCACCCAGGCCAGGGACACATCAAACAATGTGGAGTCCAACTGGGACGTACAATTCAACTCACCTCAAAGAGACTCAGCACTCTCCCTAAGCAGTGCAGTATGGATGCTCTGTGAGTCTAAAAGGAAAGAGGAGAAAGAAATGTGGTTATCAGTGGAGAGAACATCTGATGGCTGCCCCTCCCAGTCTGTGTGTCCCATGGCTCCTGACTGCCCCTCCGCACAGAGGACCGACTGCTTCACGGAGCCTCCGTCCTGCCTTCCCAGCTGTCAATATGCCAGCAGTCCAGCCTCTCATCTGATTCCCCTGACCTCTGGCTCTGAGGCCTCCTCTCCTGCAGGGTCGTTTCTAGACACTCCCACATCCACACTCTTGATTTTCTGTGCCTCCGCTGCCCTCGGATCCCTGACTTTACATGGTCCGGTATCTCCCCTCAAGGTTTCCTCACTTCCCGGGACCCTATGGGGCTTGGATTGCCCAGCTCAGCTTGCCCTACATGTGCCCCTAGCCAGGACTCACTCTTTGCAGCTGACACTCTGCCCTGAGGCTCTCGTGAACCACGGCCTTGCAGCAGCTTCCAGACACTGACCACGGCGGGCGGATGAAGAGCCAGATAAAAGGCGCAGCACTGACATTCAGTCGCTCAGCGAGACTGAAGAAGCGAGAGGCCTTTAGGCCGTTCACTTCCGCACGGGCCTCATCAGACACAGACACTGTGGAAACGGACAGAACGTAACCCAGGGGTGTCTCTGGAGGACAAATGCGGAAAGTTCTCCATGGTCTTCTGTGAGATCCTAAAAACCTTAAGCCTGCTGCAGTGCAAAGCTGCAGGTGTTTTAGGGGAGAACAGCCCTCCGGAACAGGGGTTCCTCCCTTTCCTCCCCCCCCACTTTGTGAATCACATGCCCCTGCCAGGGTCTTTGCAGCAGCCTGGATTTTGAAGGTTGAGAAGGTGCCCCCCACACCCTCCCTCCTGCTGCTGCTCTCCCTTTTAACAGGTATGGTGTTTCTTTTTGAGGCAATGAGAACTTCCAAAATCAGACAGTGGTGATGTCTGCCTAACTGTGAATATACTAAAAACCAGAGTTGTGTACTTTCAATGGTGAGTTGCATGCGTGTGAATTATGTCTGTGAACCACTATCTGATGAAAGGGTAGGGGCGGGATTGCTGCTGCCCTAAGCCTAGAGGAGGAATGCTCATCGTTTGTCAATCACAATAGTCTTGTCAACTGACCGTATGCAGTGGCTCTCTCTCAGCCAGACACCAGATTTTTCAGAAGCGGAAAAATAGCGGTTATAGCCAAGTCTTTATGCGTTTTGGAAACCGGGACATGACAGACCGCAGGCTAGTTCCTTGGTGTGCTAAGCAGATAGGCAGCAACTGGGAGAAAGCCACACAAGATTCTATCAAGGAGCACCTGGCCCCTGGGGGTGAAGAAATTCAGGCACCAAGCCACCTTTGAGCTGCATGTTCCTGCTTCCTGCTTGGAGCCTTCGCTACCTGTGTTTTGATACTTTGTGGCATCAGGCTCGCTTTGACTGCACCCCAGTGTTCTAGAAGAGCTATGGCAGAGGAGAGAAACCAGAGCCTATATGTGGGCTGCTATGTTAATTGGACAGAGAGCAGGCCGCTGGGGAAGGCTACCCGCCCGAGTAGCCCCCATTCTGAGTCTCTGCTCAGTCATTCTTTGCCTACTGAAATTAAAGGGTTTATTAAAATAAGAGGTGACCCAACCTACAAAATCAAAGTTCATCAATGGGTTCCTTAGCAGGGCACCTCTGGGCACAAGCTCTCTGGAGGAGACAGTAAGGCAGACTGCCAGACAGTGACTAAATTACAAACACTGGGAAGGGCTCCTGCTTGTTCTATTAATAAAATGTTAATACCAAGTGGGGCGGGGCCACCCTCCAGCCCTGCCAGGACTTACAGCCTTCATTATAGAGATAGGCGATGCCCAGCTTCACAGCAGCTTCAAAATTTCCCTTTTCAGCAGCCCTAGAACATTAAGAACAAAAAACATCTCATGATTTTATTCCATAAAGGTTATGTTCCATCAGCAATTGAAGCTACTTGTTCTCTGAACAGAAACTTTTTTAGGTAATGCAGCTATATATCATTTACCCAGGACATGCTCCAACATGGATTAACCTTGAAAACATGCTAAGTGAAAGAAGCCAGTCACATAAGGTCATAGTAATGGTTGCAGAACTCTGCACACATATTAAAAACCATCGAGTTGCACATTTAAAAATGGGTGAACTGGATAGTTTGTGGATGATGTCTCAGGCAACCTGCCTGGGACCACTGGCACACTTGGACGGTGGGTCTAATTGCTGGCATACTGGGGCTCATAAGTCTTGAGGTTCATGTTCCCTTTGGCCCTCCCTCTAGGTCCCAACTCTAGAAGGGTGGTGGGATCAGCCAGTGAATAAAATGCAACAGGGTTTAAATCACACGATTTTGACCAAAAGAAAAGAGAGCTGAGTAAAGTTTCCACACGAAGGTGACCTGTGTTTGAGTCATGCAGAATGGGCTACAGCCCACATGGGACCCTTCAGAAGCACTGCTGTGACTAATGAGTCAGGCCTGTGCCGGTGATGTCGATGACTAATGACTGTGCTGGAAGTCGTGTGACGCTATGGGTGAGGTCTACAGCCCTCAGTTGCTTCCCAGCTTAGAATAAGGTGTTGGTGGGGCTACAGCAAGAGGAAAATTGTTCCCAGGTCAGCCCTTGGAACACAGGCTGGCAAATCAGGGAGGCCCAAAGACGGGACAAAACCAAGCTGTTCTCAGGGTGCACAGATACCTTTCAAAGAACTTCAGGTTCCTCGGAGAAGGCCACAACTCCTGGAAGCTGGCACATGCCCACACACTGGCATGGTTGTCCACCAGGTACTTCAGGTGGGAGTGCACCTGCAGAACAGAAGTAGGGTGAGTAGGAAGATTATCAAGGGACCTCTCAGAAGCCCCGTTCCTAGAGCTCTTGAAGACAGGATGTAGACAGATATAGGGTCTCCTGTTCCCTTACCCATCCCAGTTGTAAAGTCCCCCAGTCTCTGTGTCTCAAAATGACAGTTGATTTGAATAGAGAAAAGAGCCCAGAAACAATTTTCTTTGTGGCTCTAAAGGGGGGACAGTGGTCCTGGAAGGGGGAATAGCACTTAAGCTGAGAAAGAGGGGATGATGCCTCTCCAAAGGTGTATACTTGCAAGGACCAGGGAAACCAACTCTAATGGGAACAGTTATGACAGGAATCTGTTTCCTGCTCATCTGACCAAGGCTTTGCTAGTGGGAGCAAGGATGGAGCTTGGAGGTCAAAGGGGTTCTCAGAAAAGACTGGCACACGTGATGGCAGCCTCAGGTAGGTCCTGCAGCCTCTACCCTGGGCAGGAGCCCTGACCACAGGTGAGCATTTTAAGTGCTAACGTTCCCACTGCCACTGAAAACTCAGCGCCCATGGATATTATGACCAAAATGGAGGCAGCTTTGGGAGTTGGAGAAGCAAGTTCTTGTTTTCTCACTAATCACTATATGCCCTTGGTTAAGTCAAAGGGAGGCTGCCTTTCCGGTATCTGTAAAATAACTTCCAGAGTTCCTTTCAGTGCTGAATGTTACATGTAATTTGTCCTCAAAAATATACTTTTATTCTTTTTAATGCTATCTTATTTCTTTAAAAAATTTTTAAAATTTATTTTTCATTTACAGTTGAGATACAATATTATATTAGTTTCAGGTGTAATGTTATTTCTTAAGGGAATACAAATTTCACTGCTATAAAAGGGTACCTTCTCTGTTAAACATTATAATGAGTATGCTACATTTTAGCTTACCTACAATCAGAACAACCTCAAGCTTCTATTAACAGTATCATCCTTGTTTCTCTGCTTTTTTTTTGTAGGCAAAGTGCTGTTCTAACATTTAAGAACAGGAAGCCTTGATGGTTATAACCAACAATGCTAGGGCTGACACTATTTTCATCTGGCAACTTACAGCTCGAACAGCAAGAATGTCCCCAACAGAAAGCCATTTCAGAATATGAAAGAGCACATCTTCTGGGAGATTCAAGATGGTTAGGTTTCGGGGTCTCCTCCTTATTCTTCGCTTTGTAGGATAACAGAAACACTTGGCACACCTACAGTGGATCACTTAAGAAAACAAAAATCAGAATGGTCTGTGATCTGTTGGAAAGGAATTGTACTGATATGAGGTTCTCCTGGCATTTCACACTCAGTGAAGCCCCTAAAAGCCTTGCTGTTGCTGATCTTTGCTTCTCTTTGCAAAAACGCATCATGTTCCATGGGATCTGTGGACTTGAACAAGCTGGTTTTGAGTCCAAACTAGGAGGGTCAGCCCTGCAGGGAAGCTAAGGTGAACTTGAAGGCCAAGCCATTCCCAGCTCTGCAGTTGTTGGAGCTGCTCTGTCCTCTCCCCCCGCAGGGGGTCTTTTCAACTTCAGCAGCTCCTTCCACATTCTAAGCTGAGGACCTTGAAGCTCCCGGCAGGAGCCCCTCACCTACAGTCTACCTAGTTTTCCACCCGCTCATCCCTCCTGTCCCTACAGAAGGGGGTTGCTCTCCTCCATAGATGACTCCTCCCCACTCAGTACTTTTCTCCCTTCACCCGCTGCTCTTCACTTGGGTCTTCCTATCAGCAGTTAACGTCCTGCGAAAGCCAGACCTACACGCAGAGCGACCAGCTCCCACAGATTACATGAATTTTACCGCAACACTGTCGTCATTCCCTTGCTCTAGGACAGACACTGAAACTTGATCACTGCGCTCACAGCCCTCCACAGGTGCCGGGTCCCGCGCGGGGTTTTCACGCGGACCCTGGCGTCGAGTGGTATTTAAACCGCGCGCCGGGCGGGCGCCACCGCAACTCCCGCATCCCAGACCTAAGGGCTCGAGCCGACCTGCGCAGTTTCGGACCGCCCTCCCGCCGCCGCCCGCGACCCGCGCTCACCGCCGCCGCTCCCCATCGCTGCACGCACAGCCACCTCAGCCGCAGTCGCCGCAGTCTAAGTTGCTTGAGGCGCCCGCGGGCCCTGAGCGCGCCGCTCCACGCACGCGCAGATCCGCCCCACCGCCCGCTCTAGTTTTCAAACGTGCCCAGAGCTCCCATTGGCCGGTCGGGGGGGGAGCGCGCTGCGGATACACCAGGCCCCGCCTCCGGCCCCGTCCAAACCACCCGCTCCGGGCGCCCGCTATTGGCCGCGCCAGGACGCGAATTCGAACACCAGCCGTTGATTGGTGGAAACCGCGGGACTGCCCCGCCTTCCAAGCCGAGGTCGGGGGTCTCGGAGGAGCGCGTCTCTGGGCCGGGGGTTGGGGCTTCTGTATTCCGAAACGGCTTGCGTGGGCTCGGTCTTTTCTGGGTCTGGGCCTCGGCATCGCTGTGGATTCCGCGTCAGAGGTCCCTGCTATCGGAAGCTACGGCGTGCAGTGGGTTGTCAGTGAAGGTCTGTTGTACCGGCCGCTCCTCTGGGTGCGGGGTCTTGCGGAGGGCGCGGCGCAACTGGACACCCACAGATAGGTCAGGGACGCCCTGCGTCCTGCCCGCGCTTCAGTTGAGGAGACCCCTTGTTCCGGGCCAGCCCCTGTTTGCATAGATGGTTAATTGTAGAAAGTGGAGTTTGAGACCTGAGCTGGAAATCTTCATTGACTTAGCACGTTTTGCCCCGTCGTCCCGAGGAACGTGGCTTATTCAGGACCCTTACATCGTCTCTGCCCCAGTGCAAGCCCTAACCCTCTCATTTGACCAGGTATCTTCCCAAGTCTGTCCCCAATATCTCCTCATTGCCACCTGGGAGCTCTTCCTAAAAGGGATGTGCGCACCTGTTTGCTTTACTGGCTGCTGCCAGCCACAGCTGAGCCTTCTGTTCATTCAGAGATATCAGGCAGTGACTACCCCGCCTGTCTTTCAGGAACCAGCTCACATCCCACCTCTTTCATTTGGAATGAAAGAAATGGAATCTCCTGGGAGAAGTGTTTGATGGAGGACAGAGTGGCTTTTCCTGGAGAAACTAGGGAATCTGGGTTATGGCGCTTACGCCCTTCCCAACGTCCTTCATCACCCTTCATCTCTCCTCTGTACTCCCCGCCCCCCCATTCCTCATGCTCACTGAACCCCATGGGGCCAATGCTCCATTCCAGTCTGAAGCAAGAGATGGAAAACTGTGGACATGGATGATCACAGCACAGGATATGAGAGTCTCAGTGGTCCCAAAACGATAAGGGGGCTAAGCCCTGGAATCCAGTTGAGGGTGGTGCATGGGGTAGGGGTTATGTGTACAGGAAGCTGAGTGGATAGAACTGAGCATGCTTGGGGCTGCTCCCTAGGTGTCCCACATTCCCACACAAAACGATGGAATCCGTGGAAGGCCCCTCAGGTTTCTCATCCTTCCTCATACCTTTGTTTCCATTGGTAACTGTTTCCCAATTTGTTACTTTGTTGTCCTCTTTCCCTGCACTCTTGCTTCATTACAGGTTTCATTAAGGGTTTCGCTTCAGGCCGAGATGTGCACTCTTTTCAGTGTTAGATTTTGGGAGCACTCTTTTCAGTGTTAGAATTGGGGAGCACCTTGAAGGCACTAATAAACTGGATTCACCAATGAGCAAGTCAGTCGTAATTCACTGCTCTAACTCCCCTGTGATACTACATCAAGGAATTCAAAACCACATCCTTGGTCACTCACACGGTTGTCATGTTATCACTCTCTTATTTATTCAGAGGTAAAGTTTTCATGTTTTTCAGGAAACAGATGTCCTCTTGGCTATGCTGCAGCTATACCTTCCCTAGCCCCCACCCATTTCCCTGGCAGTAAGGGCCCCTAAGACCCAGTGGGGTGATAAGGAGCCCATTTCCCACTGGGCTTCAGGAAGGTTAGAGAACTCATTGGAAAAATCTAGACTGTTGGGAGCTCAGGGAAGATCCTAGATGGAATAAGATGGTAGCTGAAGGCCTGGGGATGAATGAGAAAGGAATTCAAGCATGGCAGGGTGCAGAGGATAGAGTAAGGAACATGAAGTAGACTGGGAGCCTGAAGGATCCCACCATTCAGAGAGAAAGGCAGAGGAGCCTTCAGAGGAGGTGGAGAAGGGGCCATGGAGGGACAGAGAGCCAGATGCAGTGGGGAGAGGCCACGGGAGGGGCTTTCATCAGAAGGCTGCAGGGGATATTGTGAAATGTCACAGAGCAGTCACATGGAAATAGCAGGGAGAAACCAGTGGGTGTGGCAGCCAAGGATGTGACAATGCTGTAATTCTGGGTGAGTGGTGATGGGAGGTAGGAAGTGTGGTTAGGGACGGTAGATACCACTTTCCCAGAGCTTGGCTGAGAAGGGAGGGAGAGAACTACCTAGCAAAGGAGGAGCTGAAGGGGCTTTTTAGAGGGTCCAGAGTGACCCCACTAGAGAGAGAAAGGCTACTTGATGGGGCACATGTCAAAGGAGTAGAAAAAATCAGAGGAAAGAAAAATACTTTGTATAGCAGCAAGTTCCTTCTCTTTTCACTCTTTATGTCCCAAGTGTAATATATGCTTTAATTTTTAGATAGTACTACAATGAGATTTTCATTTCTAGAAAAACATTTTTCCATTGAGGAAAGAAAAATATTTTTCCTCAAGTTAAAGCATTTCTGATGTTGCACATAAGTAACTAAAGGAACAGCATTGTGAATACATTAAATATCACTGAATTGTACACTTTAAAATGGCTAATTGTATGTTATATGAATTTCACTTCTTTCCTATCTGCTACCAGCCTAGTCCAAGTCATGAAATTAAAATGATATACCAGACAGGAATTCTTTCATTTACAAGTAACAGAAGTCCAACTCGACCTAGCTTAAGCCAAAACAAAACAAAAACAACAGAAGAAGGATTTATTGCTCTCATAACTGGAAGTCCAAAGTGGAATAAACTACAGAAACAGCTGTCCAAGTGTTCAAATAATGTAATCAGGGTTTGTCTCTCAATTCTACTTTCCTCTGTGTCCTCTTGCCTGGCAGTCTCTAAACACAGGAGCTCTAGGCTTATTTTTAAAATCCCACAGAAAAATGTCTCCTTCCAGTAAAACTCCCAAGAGGACTCTGGCTTAGCTTGGTGGCGTGTGGCAGGTGGCCAGGAAAATGGGGGGGAAAGGAGTCAGCACCTCCAGTTACTCCCCACACACATATACACAAACAAAGGTTTCTATTACCAGCAGAAAGGGGGAGGGAAACCTATCTCCTGTGCTGCCCAGAAAAAAATCCTGTATATAAAATTTAAAACCTCCTTTGCCTAATATAATAAACCATCTATGAACAACATAAAACACACCTGCTCCCTCTCCAAAAGGAGATCTAGGTTTGGGCGGGTTCTGTATCTAGGATCAAGGCGAGGCTGTCCGGGCGATGTGCATTCCCCTGGTCCTGGTCTAGATGTGACTCCCGGGGTTTGGTACTTGGGACTAAAACATGAGAATATGAACACTCAAGTCATCCAACATACATCGGAAGAGGAAGGCTGGTTGTATCTGCCATCTTTCACAGCCCTTCACAAGAAGGGAACTGGAGGCGATTTCCCTGCTGAGCTGTAGTGCTGTTGTATTGTAGCCCACTTCCTATTGGTATGGTTTTGGGGAGTATCTTAGGGGTTGAGCAATTACAGGACTTTACTTATTAAACCTTTCCCCTCTCTGGAAATAAAATTCCAATAAAATATCGGTCAGCTGCCAGTCAATTTACATTATGTTGGCTCCCTAGGCTAGGAACTAAAACCAGATACTGTATCCAACCAGAGGACTTGAGTCTGCACGGCAGCCATGGAGTTCTGTCTCTTACCATAGATAAGGCCTCTCAGGCCCACAGTTTACTGCTTCTAGAAGCTTAAGCCCCTGAGTCCCAAACAATATCCACACAAAAACCTGCACATGGGTGTTTATAACAGCTTTATTCATAATTGCCAAAAGCTTGGAAGCAACCAAGGTGTCCTTCAATAGGTGAAAGGATAAATAAACTGTGGTATATCTAGACAATGAAATATTATTCAGTGCTAAAAAGAAACGAGCCATAAAAAAGACATAGAGGAAATTTAAATGCATGTTACTAAGTGGAAGAAGCCAGCCTGGAAAGGCTATATACTATATGGTTTCAATGATAAGACATTCTGGAAAAGGCAAAACTATGGAGACAGTATGGTTGTCAGGGGTTGTTGGGGAGGGAAAAATAAATTGGAGCATGGGAATTTTAGGACAGTGAAACTATGGTGTATGATTCTATAATGGATACATGTCATTATTTGTCAAAACCCACAGAATGTACACCAGTAGTGAACCCTATTGTAAGCTATAAACTTTGGGGAATAATGATGTGTCAATGTAGGTTCATGGGTTGTAACAAATGTAC